GGTACTGCGAAGGTCATAGAGGTATTGAAAAGTCAGTTTGTTACATGAGTTAAAAAACATCATAATTCTAGTGTAAACGAGGTTATTATTACCCCTTGAAGTTAGCTTTCACCTGCCAATAATAGAAGGACATTAGATGACTGTAACATGTACATAATTAATGCTTTGTACACTATACAATCAATGTCTTTAGGGAGCCAACCCCTATATTATGTATGATGTGAAAAATGTATCGGCTAGCTACTAGCTATGTTTATTATCATTACAATGTATAAAGTTAGTTACCATATCAAGTAATCCTTTACCCATAGTTGTGCACAAAAAAGCCAGCAAACAAGATAAATATAAATTTGGGGATTTAAAAACCTACAAAAAAGTAAGGAAGCAAGGCTGGAAATATTGTAGACATTATTTACTCAAACTACAAATCTGTATTTTGACTACCAAACGTAATTCTAAGTAACAGCATGGAACCAAAATAGGGGTTTGTAGTTTGAGTAAATAATGTCTGCAATATCTATAGCCTTGTTTGCTTACTTTTTTACAATTCTTATTTGCAGGTTTTTAAATTCACAACATTTTATTTACAAGTTTTGAATGTTTCAGAATACATTTATTCCATTTTTGTGAAATCTGAAAATTGTGTTGAAAATATTAGCTAAAACTATAGTATCACGAATCACTAGTTTACATAGTTATAAATTTAAGTGTGTAAATTTAGAATAATTTTAGGTCTAAAGAGGTTTGTAAGTTGTTAAGAGTAGGGTGGTCTTTAGGTACAAGTAAACCTTTTTTAATGTAGCCTTCAAGTTCTAAAGATCCTTTACTAACAGCTTACTCACAGCTAAAAACTGCCCTGCTCTTAACGACATACAAACTTCTTTAGATATAAAATTATTCTTAATTTATACACTTTGTATTCTTTGTATTTCTTGACATTTAAATTTGATTAGTTCATAAAGAAGTACCACTAACTTGTAGAAAACTTGATACCCATCCAGTGAGCCAGGTCTTGGAAAGAGTGAGTACCTGTACTTATAGTAAGTTTCGACTTGGTTGGTGTTCATTAATTTGTTTCTTTTGATACTTTGTTTTGTCAGTTGCAGTAGTCACCATTTCCAGTTATGAATTATAAAATTGATGGTCTAACTTGTTTTATATTTATCAATTATTTATATTTGTTATTTAACTTTCACTGGTATCCTAGGCCCATACTGATGCAGGCAATATTTTACAACTATATTGATCAGAACGTTCCATTTATATATTCAGTTAGGTCTAACTTGTTTTATATTTATCAATTATTTATATTTGTTATTTAACTATATATTAGGCCCATACTGATACAGGCAATATTTTACAACTCTATTTTTGATGAACCTCAGTCTCTATCTAATAATTATTTGTTTAATGTAAATATGGAGTTCTAATTGTGCCCACTATTGGCTCAGTAGCATGTCTGTGGATTTATAATGCTAAAAAACAGGTTTTAATACTCTTGGTGGGCACAGCACAGGTAGCCCATTATGTAGCTTAACTACAAACCAATACTCTTGTATGGTGTGTGTTGAATAATAATAAATTTACTAATAAACACAAATAAAAAATAATATATTTTCTGTCTCTGAATTGTTTGTTGTTGCAGAACTCCTAGCTTAACGTACTCACTAACTTTAGATATCCTTACTTTATGTTCTCTCAAATAAAATGTTTTCCTATTGTTTTAAAGCAGACGTAACAGTAAAATATTATCTTGTATGAAAACATCATCAAAAGAAACTTTTTTTGTTCTCAACTATGAGATCTTCCTGTAGTCATTTCTCAGAAACCATACATTACAGCTTATTCATGTGTTATTGTAGAAAGATAAGAATCTTTTTTATTCAGTCATGTTAAACCATTTTTTCTGTCTTTTATGGAAGCTAAGATTTGTTAGTTACTTACTATCTGATTCGCTGTGATATCATAAAAGTCTCTTGACACAAGATTCTTGAAATAGTTACTGAGAGAAAAGTAAAACCTCAGGAGAAATAAAACCCTGGATAAATATTTTTGAGCATTCCAACATTTGGGAAAATATGAACCATTACTTTGTGATGGGCAGAATTGTTTTGTTTTTGAATGTGAAAGAGTTTCTTTACAGGAGATACCCATTGGACCTCAGTAGAGGCCAAGGTTCAAGTAATTTTAAAAGTTTTTCTCTGTAAATTATCCAACATAAATTTTACATGGTTACAAGAGATACCCATTGGACCTCAGTAGAGACCAAGGTTCAAGTAATTTTAAAAGTTTTTCTCTGTAAATTATCCAACATAAATTTTACATGGTTACAAAATATAAATTTGTAGATATTTTCAAATAAAAAGACTGCTGAAATTATTATTTTTGCTTAAATTGTGCCCTCTCAACCCCAGACATTTGCACGTTGGCCCAAGTATGTTTAATAATAACTACAAGTGATACCTAATACAAGTATAACTACTATATTTTAAGCTTCTACACTTGCATGTTAATGTTTGGGTCAGAAATCAACATATCTTTAACTGTGTGAAAACCACCCCACCTTTCTCTGAATTTCTTGATTTATTACGAGCACTGTTCTATCGTATAACATGTATTAAGGAGCACTGTTCTGTTATATCGTATAACGTGTATCAAGGAGCACTGTTCTGTTATATCGTATAACGTGTATCAAGGAGCACCGTTCTGTTATATCGTATAACGTGTATCAAGGAGCACGTTCTGTTATATCGTATAACATGTATCAAGG